TTATTTTATTGAAGAATGTATAATTGAAAATAAGAGAGAGAAAAAGTATTTTAAAAATAATAGAGAAGACAAGGACTTTATTTCTATAGGATTTTATGTTGACAGTCAATAATGAGGTACATATATTTTGAGTTTATAAATTCTTTTCAAATACAAAGATGCAATATATTTGCATGCCTTAAACAGATATATACGTATGTGCGTATATCCAATTGCTTAGAATAGCAACCTGGCATACTATCCACACATTCCTTGGATCTCGATATCTAAAAACATCTCATAAACTAATTATATAAGTAAAAACAATTAATAAAGTAATTAGTTATTCAATGTTTGTTGGAGTAAACCAACAGCTCACAACAAAAACTAACACATAATCTACCTAAAAATTTATACGTCTATTGGTCAACTTTGAAACTTAAGCAACTTAATCTGTTTTTTAATTTCAAGCAAACTTCAGATTTTCAACAAATATTTGCTTATTATAGAATAAATAATCTACTGATTAAGCTTGATTTCAATAATGGAATTATACTGTTGTCTTCTTGACAACAAGCATGGGGACATTAGTCTAAGATTACGGATTTTTCTTAATCCTTTTGTATTAGGGATATATATTTGTTTAAGTTTAGTTAAAACGGAAAAGTTGCCATGTATCCGAAAGAACCCTAGATCATATCTTTCTATACCAATTTAATAATATTGGAACAAAAAAAATATATTTAATTGTATGTAAGGTAAAGGTGAGCAAGAATGAGACACTTTTCCATGTTATTTTGGAGTTGATGATTTGTATAGAGTAATAGAGTGAATTACCCAAATGATCACTGAACTTTGAGAAAAAAAATTCATAGAACCACTGGACTTTAAAAATCACTCAATTTATCACTGAACTTTGCAAAAAGTTTCCATGGATCACTGAACTTTAAAAATCACCAAATTCGTCACTGAACATTGCAAAAAGTTTTCACGGAGTCACTAAACTTTACAAAAGATTTCCTAGGGGTCATTAAATTTAATGATCCCTAGGAAACTTTTTACAAAATTCAGTGACGAATTTTGGTGATTTTTAAAGTTCAATAATCCCGTGGAAACCTTTTGCAAAGTTCAGTGATGAATTGAATGATTTTTAAAGTTCAATGATCCCATGAAAACCTTTTATAAAGTTCAGTGACCATTTGGATAATTCACTCTAGAGTGATATCATCTAATAAAGCTGTCATTAATTAATTGAATAATTCAAGGAAACAATAGTTTTACACGTATTTACGAAAAAGAAGCTTTAGTGACAATGTTTTGTTGGTTCGTACTTGAAGTTCCATCCCAGGTGGTATCTCGGTCAATGCCCTAAATTTGTTCATGTTGTCGACATATGATGAATTTATGGAAATGTGTGGAAGATTCAAATGGAAGTGTGGATGCAGGAGAGATTTAATCGTTGAAGAGGCATCTCTTGAGAGGTTGAGATCATCGAGAGGATGATAAGATCATATTTCGGTAGGGGAAAATTGTGAGAGATGTGCAAATAAAATTTTAAAATTATCTAGTTATGAAAGTAGTCAAGAGTTTCTACTCCATATAGATATACATTTTAAGATGGAAGTTAATACATAACAACAAACGCTATATTTGATATTTGTGATGAAACTACTTTTTCGGTTGAAATTTCGCGAGCATGTAAGTTTGTGAAAAAGTAATATAAATATGAGTATCGTTTCCACGTGGATTTAGAGTTTAAGCATCTATGATTCTAATTAATTTATAATTATCTCTATTAACTAAGCGTAAAATTAATTTTTAGAGAGGAGAAATCAATTATGAAAGTTGTGCTAGGAATCCTACTCCACCGCAATGTAATTCTCAAATTATTGCTTTTAATTCAATTTATGCTTCAATGGACAATCAATAATCTTAAGTTGTATGTCTTCAATGGAGTTCACAAGAAATCCTAATTCTGACTAATGATTCTTCAATTTGTGTATGGAACGTGTGTTTTTCTCTTCGAAATTCTCTTCTCCTTTTTTCAAGATGTAGAACCCTGTTTGCAGCCTCCAAAATTAAGGTAAATTCGTACACAAATTGAGGTAACCCTGGTGGAAATTTTGTCACCCTTGCGATTGAAAGGTAATTCCTTTTGTTTCCTGTGAAAATTGATCCCCGAATTTTTCTATTGATTCATCTCAAGCCCCTTTTATTTGTGTCGTGGGATCCTTCATCTTTCAAATCTTAATACTTTGATCCCCACCTTCCAAAACATGTTCATTTGTCATCTTCTTTATTCCATTTTCTGTTCCATTTCTCCACGAGACATTCAACATCGAGTTTCTCCTAAAACTATTAATATACTACCAGAATTAATTATCAAATTGATAAAAGTATTCTCAAACGTCCACTTTAGATGGTTCGAATAAGTGTAAAATTACAATTATCAATATTCGATCACTATTTGGTTGTTTGTCACAATTATCCAAGACTAGCAAATTCCTTATTGTTTTATCATATATGGTATTTGCTTTCAGTTTTAAGTATCATAAAATTATTGTTTTTGAAATTAACTTAATAAATACATTTAAAATCAAGTTAAATACGAATTTAAAATCTTTCTAAATACAAAATAACTGAACATATATTATGTATATATAATGCAGTCGTTAAGCAAAGTTTAGCATATCTAATGCTGATCCACGCACTAAAATTAAAAGCTAAAAAAGAAGAGAGAAAAAGAAGTAATTACCACCTTAATATTTATATATATATATATATATATAGCCTTGAATGAAAATAATTGATAACATAGGCTTGACAAATAAACTAATGCGAGTTAAAGGTATTGCTCGAAGCCACGTATAAGGTCTAGCAGTTATTAAACTATGAAAAAAAATAATAATAAAACCAGAAAGTAATGTTATGTAATATCACTAAAGTTGTAACCCCAATTTAAATGACATTAGATGATAGGTCAAACGAAAAATGAAATTAAATGAGTTATTTCATTCTACCTATCAATTAATATGACGTTAACACCACTTCAGCTGGGGTTGTAACCCCCAATGAGACTAAATAGCATTACTCAGAAAAAAAAAAAAAAAAAAAAGCTTGAAGTAGTTTCATCTATTAGGAGGAGATTCGACCAAGTATCTTTTTGGCAAAATTTCTATATTATTTATGAATGATCAAATTTTATTTTTAATCATAAATTTCAATGTATTCACAAATAATATTTATTTATGCTTACTTCTATTTATTGAAAAAGTAAATTATTTATAAATTCTTTTAAAACAGAAGTTAACTTTCCAACCACCAAAACAGAACACATAAAAAGAAAAAAAAAAAAAGGTTGAACCCCCAACCTTCAGGGCCCCCATATCCTCTTTCCTAAAGTTTTGTGAGGGAGGTAAATCACGAGATGTGTCCCAACAAATTAAGAAATAAGAGTTGCATGTACACTAAAACAGAACACATAATCATATATATCAAGTCACCTAAACATAAAACAATTTTTTTTTATTAGGTTAGTTTTTGTCCTTTGTGAGGGAAGTAAATCACAAGATGTGCCCCAACAAATTAAGAAATAAGAGTTGCTTGTACACTAAAACAGAACACATAATCATATATATCAAGTCACCTAAACATAAGACAATTTTTTTTTTCTTTTTTTTTTTGTGTATTAGGTTAGTTTTTGTCCTTCCAATCCAAGAACAATAATTGCTATTGTACTCGAAGTTGAGGAACGAAGTCCTTGTTTGATTAAACTTAATTCAAAAATAGATTAAGATTTAAGTTAAAATTAATTTTTAAATTTAATCGTACATTTCATAAATTTATTTACTTTAAATCATTTAGGGGCGAAATAGTATTTATAATATAACAATGCTATAAGTATAGATTTTTTCTAAAGAATTTGTATAAAAAAACAGTTGTCTTCATATAATTGAATATTACCAAAAACAATTTTGACAACAACAAAGCACGGGAAAACAGTTATCTTTCTGTACCAATTCTGTTTAAAAAAAATATGTACTTACAGATTAATTATTTATAATATGATGGCATTATATGGCTTAATAATGACGGCTTGATTTTGAAGCCATGCACACGATAAGAAGCCGTGAAATATCCGTAACAGGAAGGTCTAAGGGCCATTGGGGGGAGGGTACGTGGACTTATATTGTCGGTGACGGCTAATATGAAATCAGAAAGAGAGGAGATAAACCTCGCACGAAAATGATATTTGATGGATAATGTAAGGGAAGATATTTGATGGATAATGTAAGCCCTATTTATATTTGATTTTGATTTTTTTCAAAATTATTTTTCTTAAACTCATCTTCAATTATGCATTATTTCAATAAAATAACTTTGTACATAAGATCATAATTTTTTTTGCTTACATTTAACTACACATTCTTCAAGAAAATTATGTTACACAAATTTACTTCTTGAAAAATCAAAATCAAACATGGACTAAGTCTTAACATTTTATACATTCACAGTTTATGACCAAGTTTCATAAAAAAATAAAATTTTGAGTAAAAGACTAGTTGAATGTAAATTATAAAATGATTTTAGACTCGAATTAAGCCCTTGTTATTTGGTGAAAATTAAATAGGGGCAAAATTTTATTTACTACTGCTCTTTTTTTTTTTTTTTTTTTTAATGTCGTACATAAAAATTAGTGTAACTAAAATTATTTCATTTATTCTACCATAAAATGAAAGAGGTTGACTTTTTCCCCCAAGGGAGAGTGAGAGAAAGTTAAGATCACATTTATATGTTAAGAACGGGGGACACGTCGCCAGCACCGAATTACTTCGACATCTATTTAGCCTAATCCCCTCTATATATAAACCAACACTAAGTTCATGTACATTCAGATACGGATCTACACCAACTCGATCAG